TAAGTATTCAACCGATGGAAAACATTTCAAACGCCAAAAATCTCCATAGACTATCAATTTCTTTTCTGCAATGTCTGGGATTATTAAACGGAGATATACTTTCATATTTTCAACCGATATCATACATCATCCATACATTCGAAGAAAATTTATCCCTTCGAAATTTCAACATCTTTCAAATCCTCCGATTATAAGCCAATCGAAAGTGGTTGCATTTTGAGAGCAGTTCTACATGAATTTTTCATCGATAACAAATTTCAATACGCATGAAGCAAACAATAAACACAGAAAATAGTGTAAAGCATCGAAAGATCATGAAGTCGATTTAAAGAGGAAATTATTATGCATCTATACAAACTGAATGTTAATTGGTATGTTAGCAGTGATCTCTACCTAAAATTTTTTTTATTCTTCTCATGTCGCTCATTTGCTTGGTCGTTGCTTCGATAATTCTTGATTCCTAACAGTTCGCTCACTAACAATCAGATATTTCTCGGAAACTTCATCCGATCAGTTTCCATTGAGTTTTGTGTCCAATGCATATTTTCTTCTGTCTATCAACGATTNCACGAACATGCAATGATCAATTTTTCAAACATCATTCAATTTCTTATAAAGCAATTCTAAATGAATGACCACAGTTTTAGTGAACTTCAAATGAAACTAAATTGCCACTCGCGTCTACGGTTACTCATATACAAAAGCCCGGCTCACCATATACTCTTACAGAATAGTTTGCATTGTTCTGAATACTCAAGAATACTCAGTTAGGTATTTTGAATGTGCGGAAGTTGGATTGTAAGATATTACACTGATAAAGGATTACGGAACAACAATATAGTATCGTATCTTTGTGAAAAATCCTTTTTGAATATGAATGGCCGTCAGGAAAAAAATCATTCATCGAACTTGATCATAGGAAACAGATATTAAGCTTCATCTTCAGTGTTCATTACGTGTGCTGTCAACTCTCCGCGTGATCCCATCGCATTCCTCTTGTAACGCCAATACTGCAGTCGTGTCCAAACCTCTTTCACAGCCAAATAGATCATTGCCACATTCTTAACCACAAAGATGCTAGCATCGTAGTGTTTGCCTTGTTGTGGAATTTCCAGTATTATGAACAAGTAGATGCGTATGCCCAAGTATGGCGCATTTACCTAAAATTCAAAGTAAATGCAATGAATACTGATAGGAGTTTTCTTATCATTGTGTGAATTAACGTAACTTGTTTTGTTGTGTCGTCGGTGCGATGAATAAAATTGGAACGTTTCGTCACTCTCTCGATTGGACTAGTCAAGAAATTAGAATGCAAAGACAGTGAATGAAGTTCTTACGAGAAGTACATAGAAGAGTGCCCAAATTTTGTCTGAAACAAGCGCAATGCGTGGTAGTCGTCCGAATCGAAGTCGCATTAAAGCGAACGTTGGCAGTATGAAGTTAACACCGCTCAATGATAAGATCACAATATCCAGCCAGAACGGTAGTTGCCAATTGTCTTTCTGCAAAATAAGTCCAGTCATTTAGGTTGAATAAAATGATAAGTTTTGTCGCTCGTATAAGGATGGTGAACGACCGAACTAGAATATGGCAAACAGTATTGGATACAAAAACAAACTCTGATTTTAATCTTTCAATCTGAACGATGAGATTTTTTG